TCCAGGAAAGGCACAAAGCTACACAGAGAAACCCTGTCTTGAAAACCAAAAAAAAAAAACCCATAAAAAATACCCTTAGTTAACAAATTTTCAGACCCAGATAATTTCATTGTTGAATACTATCAAGCATTTAAGAAGGAAATAATGTCCATCTGTATTAGGTGTGGTTCTCTAAAGGAATAGAACTGATAGAATTGAAAGTATATATATACATATATATGTATTGAATCTTAGTCACTGTTCTTAGTTGTAAAGAGACACCATAACAAAGGTGTTATCATCAAAGAAACTCATCACAGAAAGCATTTAATTGTGGGCTTCCTTACAGTTTCAGAGGCTAATCCGTTGTCATCATGGAATGGAGCATGGCAGCATACAGGTAGACATGATGCTGGAGAAGGAGTTGAAAGTTCTACATCATGATCCATAGGCAAAGAGAGTGAGAGAAAAACACACTCACCCTGGTGTGAACTTTTGATACCTCAAAGTCCACCCCCAGTAACACAATTCCTCCAACAAGGCCACACCTACTCCAACAAGGCCATAATCCTTCATAAATAGTGCCACTCCCTGATGACTAAGCATTAGTCATTCATCATATATTATGAGCCTATGGGAGCCCTTTGTACTCAAACCACCACACAGTGAAAGGGGCTTTGTTAGATTGGCTCAGAAGACAGAGGACTCAGTGTGAGTCATTAACAATGGCTGTCTCACACTGAAGAGGCCAGAAATGCAGTGAGCATTTAGTACACAAGGGTAGTATTTCAGTAGTCCCAATCTTATGTTGGGGGCTTGAGAAACCCTTTGAGAGCTGCTGGTCTTCAGTCTACATTGGATTCCAAAGAATTTTCTTCTAATATTGTTGAAGGAATATTGCAATAATGGTATAGATAAACTTTCCAGCAAGAGTGAGACAAAGTAAGCAAAAGAACAATGTTTCCTGATGTCATGTCTTTTTATCTGAGCTGTCACCAGAATGTGGCACTCTGTATTTATGGTGGGTCTTCCTGCTTCAACTAAGCTGATGAAAAGTGTCCCTTGCAGGGCAGCTTTGGTTTTAGTTGATTCCACATTTAGTCAACAGCCAAGATTAGCCATCACATGGTCTTACAAAAATTAGTTCTTAGAGAAAAGAAAACTTTCCAACATGTTTCATGAAACTACAATAACCTGGATGAAAAAAACTTTGAAGTACATTATAAGATGATAAAAATTATAGATAATGTCTTTGAATGTGCACAAAGAGATTCTTTAAAACTCCAAGGCATGCCCTATGCTCAGGAGTAGTTGGATAATGCAAATCAGACTCTCTCTCTCTCTCTCTCTCTCTCTCTCTCTCTCTCTCTCTCTCCCTCTTTCTGTGTGTGTGTGTGTGTGTGTGTGTGTGTGTGTGTGTGTGTGTGTGTGTGTGTGTGTGTATGTGTGCTTGTGTGTGTGTGTGTCTGGGTATTTTGATTTTTTTTGTTTTGCTTTTTTAAGAGAAAGATCATAAAGTTAGGTGAGTTAGGAAAGTTAGGGAGATGGGGAGGATCTAGGAGTTGGGAGAGGTGAAAATCTGATCAAAATAAAGTGTATGAATGTTCAAAGAACAAATCAAAACATAAAAAAATAGTAAATTGGGTCTGAGGCTGTGAGTCATAGATAAAGCACATGTGAGACCTCTAGGTTTCGTCTGTAGTACTGAAAAGAAGAATTAGTCAATTGACTTGAGGATTGTCAAAAAGAACACATCGGGCATAATCAAAGTTCTCTTTCTAGTTTGTATAAAGCTGGGGATAGACTCAAAGGGATTATAGAAGATAGGATGATATTATTAGAATCTTGATTAGTATGGTTATATTTACTAATAATTTTTAAATGATATACTTGAAATTAGCATATAACTATTAAGTACAAATTTGACTTCAGTTTTTAGTAGCTTATGAGTAAATTTGAAAGCTATAACAATTTGGAGACCATTTTAGTAGTCCTGGCAAGAGGTCATGGTAATTCATTGTTGGATGTTATAAGCAGAGCTGGATGGCAGCTAGATTCAGGGTTTGGAGGTGAACCTGGCAGGAATTGTTGATGTGCTTGGCTCCAGAGGTAAGAGATAAAATGGATTCAAGGACATTTCGTGGTTTGGGGAAGGGTGAGAAGGCAAGTGGCATTACTCACTCAGAAACTGTGAAGGCAGTACTGCAGAGTGGGTGGGTGTGATGGACCCAGAGCTCTGTTTGCTCCTCTGTTGTTTCCAAAGTCTTTTGTAATTCTGGTACAATCAGAGATAAGAAAGCGCTTGCCTGGTTTACTCTAGTATTCTGTGTAGAGTCCAGTGCTTGGTATTTTCGTTTGGTGTCATTAGTAAAAAGATTGCATTTAACGCTACTGAACTTCAAAAAGAAACTCAGCAACTGTACATTGCATAGTAGAGGTATGAGTTTCTTTTCCTTCTCTGTGACTGGATTAAACTTCTCTGAATCTACAGATGGTGCTTTCATTCTTCTTCTGATATTTAAGGTGAAGATTAAAAAATACATTTAAGTTAAATTTAAATTAAGTTTAGACTCCCACCCCCTTTCCTCTTTCCAACCCTTAGGTACCTTCCTTTCATCCCCATGCATACTCCACACCTTCTCAAATTGAAAGCCTCTTTTTCTTAGATTAACACTGTTACACACACACACACACACACACACACACACACACACACACACACACATCCACACATCCACAAAGACATATGTATGTAGATATATGCACAAATATATAAACACAACTTGCTGAGTCCATTTTTTGTTTTTTGTGTGTATATAGTTTTAGGGCTACCCATTTGGTATTGGATAACTGTTGGATCATGGTCCAGGAACGGAGGCATGTGGGGTGAATTCTGAGTGCTTGTGAGAACATGCCAAGAAAACAATACAGGAGTCTTGTGACCTTGGTTTCTTTAAAACATGGAATTGTTTTTGGAATGTGTTTTTGTGCTCCTCCAAGATATAGCAAATGTGAGTGAGTTTAATTAAGGTTACTCATTTTTGCTTGCTGATGTTATTCAGTTAAATGTTTAAGCTATCTTTTATATGCTTCTATGAAAAAAACATATTTTTGCCAAATGCAACTTGTCCTTGTGATTGTATACAGTTTGAACTCATGAGAACTTAACTCATGAGATTTTTTCTTAACCCTCAGAGTATAAATTGTCTGATGCGCTGAATAAAAGTGGTTATTTCATGAGACTTTAGACCAGTGACTCTCATCCTTCCTAATGCTGTGACCCTTTAATACAGTTCCTCATGTAGTACTGACCCCCAACCATAAAATTATCTCCAATTGCTACTTCATAATTGTGATTTTGCTACTGTTATATTGTAACATGAATTCTAAAATGGTCTTATAATAATTAACCCAGAGCCAGATATTGGAGTAAATACTGAAAGATCAGAGAGACAAAAGAACAAGCTACTGCCATGACTTACCTCTAGGACTCCTCAGTCTGAAAATGGTCTTTAGTTTCTGTCTCCTCATGCCTTATATAACTTTCTCTGCCCAGCCATCACTTTCTTCCTAGTGCTGGGATTAATGGCATAGGTGTTTTCTAAATACTGGGATTAAAGGTGAGAAATCTCAAGTATTGGAATTAAAGGTATGTGCCACCACTGCCTAGCCTCTATATTTAATCTAGTGCTTCGTTCTGTTCTCTGATCTGGCAAATTTTATTAGGGTACACAATATATCACCATATTATATAATGTAAATATCTGTATTTTCTGATAGTCTTTTTATTTTGGATGTTAGAGACAGGGCTTCTTTGTGTAGTTTTGGCACCTGTCCTGGATCTTGCTCTGTAGACCAGGCTGGCCTTGAACTCCCAGAGATCCGCTTGGCTCTGCCTCTCGAGTGCTGGGATCAAAGACATGTACCACCGCCCCCTGGTGTTTTCTGATGTCTTAGGTGACCTCTGTGAAAGTGTCATTTTACCCCAAAGGGATTGAGATCCACGTGTTGAGAACTGCTTCTTTAGACCTCCTTATTCATCAGCTCCATTCTCCCTGAGAGTGGCAAAGGAGAACTAACAATAGGCTCATCCCTGGGAGAGATTTAGTCTCCCTCTCCTAGAAATCACTGGCTCCCTATAGTTCTCTGTCTAGGGGTGAGGCCCTGTGAAACTCCCCCTTCCCTTTATATCAGCGTGTCTAATGATATTGCTATTGCTCCAGTCTGTTTTATGCAGCCATTTCTAGGAGAAACTGTTTCACAGCAGACTTCCTGGTATTTGGGCACTTACAGTTTATGTGCCCCTCTTCCTTGATATTTCCTGAACAATAGATACAGGAACTGTGATGTAAATGTATCCATTGGTTCTTAGCTCCCCATGGTTGGGTGATTTCTGCATTGTGTCCAGTTGTGGAATTCTGTTGTGGTCTCCATTTGCTATAAAAAGATGCTTCTTTGATGAGAAGTGCTAGCTACACCCATATATGAGTATAAGGGTAAGATTTAGAATGTACTTGGGAATTATGCTGCTAGAATGGTGGCATTGAGTAGATTGTTTCCTAAGGTCCATGACCACTAGCCCTTGGAAGTTGGGTTGTAACTAGTATTAGATGTAATTTCCCTCCTGCTGAGTGGATCTTTAGATAATTGTTGGTTACAACCAACATGTAAGTGCTATTTGTTGTCCCTTTATGACTATTTTCTCATATTGGTCATTGTCTTGGTTCACAGATGTCATAGGTGGGTAGGACTGCTCATTGCTACTCTCCTTTGGAAGGTTTCGTAGTATTTTCTGGTACCATAAATGCTTATTCAGTGTACTGATAAGAAATGAAAAAGTAAAAAAAAAACAGCGTTTGTGGTATTAGTTTTAATTAGGAAAAGCAGAGATTCTAAAAGCCAAATAATTAACTGATAAACTAGCAATAAATATGAGGAAGTATGGCAATAGTTATCAATGCTTACAGGCTTTTTAGAAGGAGAAAATATACTCTAACTTCAATATATGATGCCCCAGAGACAGCGCCGGGGCAAGCGCGAGCCGGACGGGCACTGGGCGACTCTGTGCCTCGCGGAGGAAAATCAACTAAACATGGGCAAAGGAGATCCTAAGAAGCCGAGAGGCAAAATGTCCTCATACGCATTCTTTGTGCAAACTTGCCGGGAGGAACACAAGAAGAAGCACCCGGATGCTTCTGTCAACTTCTCAGAGTTCTCGAAGAAGTGCTCAGAAAGGTGGAAGACCATGTCTGCTAAAGAAAAGGGGAAATTTGAAGACATGGCAAAGGCTGACAAGGCTCGTTATGAGAGAGAAATGAAAACCTACATCCCCCCCAAAGGGGAGACCAAAAAGAAGTTCAAGGACCCCAATGCACCCAAGAGGCCTCCTTCGGCCTTCTTCTTGTTCTGTTCTGAGTATCGCCCCAAAATCAAAGGAGAGCACCCCGGCTTGTCCATCGGGGACGTGGCGAAGAAGCTGGGGGAGATGTGGAACAACACCGCTGCGGACGACAAGCAGCCCTACGAGAAGAAGGCTGCCAAGCTGAAGGAGAAGTACGAGAAGGATATCGCTGCCTACAGAGCTAAAGGAAAACCCGATGCGGCGAAGAAGGGGGTCGTCAAGGCTGAAAAGAGCAAGAAAAAGAAGGAAGAGGAAGATGAGGAGGAGGATGAAGAGGATGAGGAAGAGGAGGAAGAAGAGGAAGACGAAGATGAAGAAGAAGATGATGAATAAGTTGGTTCTAGCGCAGTTTTTTTTTCTTGTCTATAAAGCATTTAACCCCCCTGTACACAACTCACTCCTTTTAAAGAAAAAAATTGAAATGTAAGGCTGCGTAAGATTTGTTTTTAAACTGTACAGTGTCTTTTTTTGTATAGTTAACACACTACCGAATGTGTCTTTAGATAGCCCTGTCCTGGTGGTATTCTCAAGAGCCACTAACCTTGCCTGGTACAGTCTGGGGGTTGTAAATTGGCATGGAAATTTAAAGCAGGTCCTTGTTGGTGCACAGCACAAATTAGTTATATATGGGGACGGTAGGTTTTTTTTTTTTTGTTTTTGTTTTTATTTTTTGTTTTTTTGTTTTTTTTTTTTTCATCTTCAGTTGTCTCTGATGCAGCTTATACGAAGATAATTGTTGTTCTGTTAACTGAATACCACTCTGTAATTGCAAAAAAAAATTGCAGCTGTTTTGTTGACATTCTGAATGCTTCTAAGTAAATACAATTTTTTTTATTAAAAAAAAAAAAATATATGATGCCCCATGAGACTTGTGATGTGATCATGATTTGGCATTTTGAGAAAACTGACTAAAGCTGATAATTTCACATTTTTAAAACTGAGATTAAAAACAATGCACATAGTGTGTTGGATATTTGTCCTGAAAGTAATGAGCATTCATACACAGCTATGTGAAATGCAATTGCTGATTCTTACAGATGTATTTATTTGTGTTATTTGTGAGCATGTGTGTCAGCAAATGCCACATTTCTAATCATAGTAATTTTATAGCAATCCTATTAAACATTAGCTAAAAGTGATCATTAGGGCTTCTTAAATTTTAATTTACACCATTACATGGAAAAAATAATACATCTAAGATAGAAGAATTTTACTTCTACAAAAAACCCTGTAAGGAGGAGTCTCCAGAGATAGTTCTGTGAAATGCCACAAAAATCTTATTTGTCAGATGCATCTTATTTTGCAGGCTGAAAATAAATTTTGGGAAGAAATTTTAATATCTTGACCCAAGTTACAAACAACATTGCATTCTCCTGGGTCTGTGTTGTAAGTGTTTTCAAGTGACTGTCTCCTCTACAGGTACAAAGATAGTGGGTCCAATTTCAAGAGAACACCACTCCTCTTGTGACTTGTTTCCATCAAGGTAGAAGATGCATAAAGTCTGAAAGCTGGGATGCCTGACTATATGGAGAAGTCAGCCAGGGCTGCCTCAGCCAGAACTTTGGGCACTCAGCTGTGATGTAGTATTGAGTAACTTCCCATCCCAGGTGGTAGGCAACTCTGGATTGGTACAGCTGGGTCAGACTATGCTGCATTAGAGTATCATGAGAATGGGGTGTTATGGCATGTATCATGAGCACAGATGCCAAAGCAGCTGCTGTAGACTGACCAGCCAAACCACATGGCATAGCCCAAAGCTTTATGAGATATAGTTAGCAATGACCTCTCCCTTAGAGCCTGCATCCTCCTTTATTTTTATTACTATACAGTTCTTAGAGTAATTACAGCTAGGCCAAGTGGAAATGCTGCGGATCCAATTCCAAATACCTGCACTTGTATGCTTGCTCTATACTTATTTGCCTTTCTACCCTATGTAATATGCTTTCTCTTCTTGTTCTCTTCAGTCTTTCCTTTGGAAAAAAATCAGAAGAAATTATTACATATTTATTAAAAATATTTTGAAGTTTATGTAATCTGAGTTATAATATCTACAATGTGCCATTTGGTATATATTAAGCATTCTAAATAAGTCAGTCCAATCTGTTTTCTCTTGCTTTGGTTGAAACTAATTCTGCTTATGGAACTATTCAAGTTAATTAAATATTTGCCTTTATGCCTGGAGTGGTTAAAGTGCTTGCTGCATAAGGATATGGATAGAAGTTTGGATCCTCAGAACCCAAGTAAATGTTGGTTGGATGTGGTGGCCTACCTGTAATTCTAGCTTTAGAAAATGGGGACGGGGACCATTAGAGCAAGCTGGCTGGTAGTGAGACTACCTATATCAGCAGGCTCTGGGTTTTATTTACTTCTCTTGCCTCAACAAGACAGATAAGCATTAGAGGATTATTTTATACATCAGCCTCCACATGCTTGTGCACATCTGCTTACATATGTGTGCCCACACACATGTAATCACACAGAAATGCTTGCATGTAGCTGAAGTTTGTCTTGTAGCACGAATCTTAAAAGTTCTTATTAATAAAAACAAACCTGGTGCCAGTTATTGGGGTGAACGCTGGAAGATCAGAGAAGCAGAACAAGCCACAGCCACCTCACCTTGCTAATTTCTCAGCTGATCCTGTTTCCTCAGACTAGAAGCCTTTGAGTCATTATCCAAATGGATCTCAGCTGAACTGCTGCTCAAAAGCCTAAAAGCTTAACCAGGCTAATTCCTGGTCCTCATACTTTATGTACTTTTCTGCTTCCTGCCATCACTTCCTGAGATTAAAGACTTGAGTCACCATGCCTGGCTGTTTCCAGTGTGGCTTTGAATTCACAGAGATCCAGACGAATCTCTGCCTCAGGAATGCTAGGATTAAAGGTGTGTGCTACCACTGTCTAATGTTTAATATTATGGCTGACCCCCAGATAAGTTTATTGGGGTGCAAAATATATCAGCCACATTTTCTGGTCATGTCTGTCCCATAATCAGGACAAATCTCTCTCACCCAACAGTCCTGCAGCCGCTCAGACCCAAGCAAACACACAGAGACTTATATTACTTATAAACTGCATGGCTATGGCTCAGGCTTCTTGCTACCTAGTTCTTATATCTTAAATTAATCCATTTCTATTAATCTATACCTTAGCACGTGGCTCATGGCTTACCGGTACTTTACATCCTGCTCCTCATGATGGCAGCTGGCAGCATTTCCTCACTCAGCCTTCCACTTCCCAAAATTCTCCTCTCTGCTTATCCCACCTATCCTACACTTCCTGCCTGGCTACTGGCCAATCAGCATTTTATTTATCAATCAATCAGAGCAACACATTTTCACAGCATACAGAACATCCCACAGCACTTGCATACCACACACTTATAAAAATGGGAAAAAAATGAAAAAATTCTCATAGTCACATAATTAAAACCAAAAACATAAGAGGTAAATTTGGTTCTTATACTTCATTGAACCTACAACATATACGTATTTAATAAGGAATTGATATAAACTAAATAAAATGTCTTGCATTTATATTTTCATATACATCAATAAATATGAAGCACAATAATGAAGTTACTTCTTCAGTCTGTTTTCCATATTTGAAGTATTAAGAGTCACATCTTTCTGTGCTATTGGGCAGTGCAGGTCTACAGATATAGCAGCTTTGAGGGAAAGATGGATAAATACAGAAAGAAAAAATATTGATTCATTAAGTTTTGGTACTTGTTTAGAAAAATGAGATAGGGGCCAGTTGTGGTTGTGGCACACATCTTTAACTCTAACACTCAGGAAGCAAAGGAAGGTGGAGCTCTGTAGCTTCCATTCCATACTGGTCTACAGAACAAGTTCTAGTAGAGACATGAATACATGTGAGACTCTCCAAAACTAAAAAGGGGATGATAAATTGAATACCATGTTGAATATGGTACCTTGAAAATAAAATTGTCATTCTGTAGAAATATGAGCAATTTTAAGCATTTAGGAACTGGAGAAAAGTTCAATTGTAGGTTTGAAGTTATTGCGATATCAGGAGTTCTGTAGAAAGATGTTTAGTGTCTTAGTTAGGGGTCCTCTTCTGTGATAAAACATCAAGACCATAAGCAACTTGGGGAGGAAGGAGTTTATCTCAGTTTTACTTCCACATCACAGTCCATCATTTAAGAAAGGCAAGGCAGGAACCTGGAGGCAAACAGAAAGAGAAGCAGAAGGCATGGAAATATAGTGCTCATTTGCCCACTCCTCATGGCTTTCTCTGTCTGCTTTCTTATAGAACCCAGGGGTGGCACTTCTCACAGTGAGCTGGACCCTTCCACACAGTCATTCATTGAGAAAATGTACCACAGTCTTTGTCTACAGGCTGTTCATATTCCCTGTTCCGAAAATGATGCATGAATATAAAGTTTACATAAAACTAGCCATCTCAATTAGAAAAGAGATGCCATCATCCACTGGGAGTTTGGTGTCAGGAATCCTTTACCTGGAAGAATATGGACAGACAGACATCACTGAGTTCTCTAAAGATACTAGCAAAGCTTTTCATAAATGATAATTCAAATCACTTTAGATAGTACTTTTTAGTTTTATGATGCAATTTCATTTCTTTTCATAACTACTATTTACACTGATGCTGCCTTTTAAAAACATTAAGTGATGTTTCTAGACATAAATTACCTTAAAGTAAATAAATTATAAGTGAAATAAATCACAGATTCCATTTTAAAAGTAAATACTAGTTTTAATCTTTGTGATTTTCAATTAATTTTTCCTTAGGAATCAATATCTAAAATTGCGGAACTTTTGAATTTGAAAGTGATGGAAAGAGAGCTGCAATGACATAATGGTAAACTCTGCAGGAGAGAGTGTAGACACTCTATGTAACTTTGTGTGCATTTGTTTGTAGTTGGAAAGAACAGCATCAATATGAAAAATGCAGAGGTGTCTAAGACTCAGATTCATGGTAATATAAGGACAGCTTAAGACTCAATAGGAACAACAGTAATATTGCACATTTGTGTTAATTCTCCTGACATCTGTGCCTACTGTAGTGTGTGAAGAAGACCAGATGATGTCTGCACATGCAGTGAGCTGTGCTGGGGATGCTGTGAATGTGTTGCTCTGATTGATTGACAAGTAAAATGCTCATTGGCCAGTAGCCAGGCAGGAAGTATAGTGTAGGTGGGATAAGGAGAGAGGAGAATTCTGGGGAGTGGAAGGCTGAGTCAGGAGATGCTGCCAGCCATCAACCATGAGAAGTCAGATAAAGTACTGGTAAGCCAGAAGCCAAGTGGCAACTTATAGATTGATAGAAATGGGTTAATTTAAGATATAGGAACTAGATAACAAGAATCCTGCCACAGCCATACAGTTTATAAGTAATACAAGTCTCTGTGTGTTTACTTGGGTCCAAGGGGCTGCAGGCCTGAGCCAAAACTCCAGCTACAGAACTGGGTTTTAGGAAAAATATCCTGAGTTCAGGGAATCACAGTTTTTTATAATGAGCAGACAGCTTACCTGCCAGAGTTTGGGAGGAAGACATCTTGTATTCATTGTGTACTTGTCCCTTGCTCCTGAGAACTTTGTTTCTGTCATCACTAAAACATCATGTCACTGCCTTATTTAAGAAGACATTCAGGAATATGACACCTACTAATCATTATCTTAATAAATGAGGGAAAACAGTTGTTTTTATCATTGTGATAAAAATTGAGCAATATTTCCCAGTCTAAATATATATATGTAGATAGATTAAAAAAGCCTAGAAATATATTCATAGAATGAAAAGTATTAATATGAAAGTACT